CTAGCCACGAGCAAACCGGAAGACTACCGAGTTGTCATGCGTCGAAGATAATGGTCGCGCGATTTTACGTCTGATTTGCGTCAGTTCGTACGGCTGCGTCGTCGTCTTTGTCTCAGCTTCTTTTTCGTAGGAAAACAAAGCCAGTGAACAGCAGAAGTGGGCAAATTAGAATTGGACATTAGTACCATCAAAAGAATTGTAACGAAAACCAGCTCAACACAGCGGTACGGTACGTGTACGGTCGTTGCGGTGTTTGTGTCGTGAGAAAAACACGTCTTCTGACTCTTTATGTCGCCCCTGCTAAAATAAGCTAGCGCCATCAAATGAACGCCGTCTATTTGCTGGAGTCACAATGCTGCCGTCAGATTAGCCAGGGCTAGCTAACTACAACAGGTTTCATTGTTATGGAAGCTTTGTCAGTCGAGAAAAGCCTCTGTGTCGTTATTGTTCGACTCGTTTTACAAGTAAAACGGTACTGTTTGACCAGCTGCTGGGTAATCAGCCAGACAAGTTTTTATATATACTATTAATAGTTATTGTGAGTATTATAACCATCACATCGTTAGCCGTTAAATTTAATTAAATAATGTGCTTGTCACTAGCCCTGCTTTAACGATAGAAGGTTTAAGTCACAAAGCACAGTTCACTGATTGTTGTGAGGTAACTGAGCAGCCTTTTGTATCACACACAGTAACCTCTTAGGTTTCACTTATAACTAGTGAATTAATCCCAACCTGTAAGTAATCGGTTTTAACGCCAGAGCTGAAGGGTTTGATTGGGAGGAAATGTATGCATATAAGAAATGGCTTGTTATTGTACCGAACAGTTGTATGTATTTTAAGATGAAACACATTTTCACTCACTTCTCTTTTCGTTTTGACAGTGGCAAGTTTCAAGGTCGAACAGCTCTCCTGATGATACATCAGCACTAAGCTCATTCCAGTAAGTCCAAAATGGATAGTGTATTTGAATTTTGTGATGGTACCAGTGTGCCTTTAGACAACATTAAAAGCTGGTTTTATTTAGCCTTTTATTTGTTTGCTAATTTGTGACAGTAACATTGTGTTAAGTGAAGTCATGACAGCAATAAAAATAAAAGAAAAATCAGCTGCATAGTGTCCATTTCATTGAAAGATATATTCATTTACCTAGGCATGATAGCCACAGAATAATATCTCCAGTAATATTAATAATTTCACACAATATACATCTGTATTGAAATTAACACTACTAATAAACAAATGGGTAGAACACATTCATTGTAACATTTTCCTTTATGATATTTCTTGTGGTTTTTTTTCAGTACTTCCTCATGATGGCTAGTTGTGGAGAGGTAGACCACTCTGTTAGCTCACTCCCATCCAGCAAGAAAGGCAGCAACAGTGGTGGTGGAAGTGGGAACAGTGCAGAATCATCGTGCTCTGGCTCCAGCAACTCATCCCCAGCTCTATCAGTTCCTGAGTGTGCCATCTGTCTGCAGAGCTGCGTCCACCCAGTCCAACTGCCATGCCATCACGTCTTCTGTTTCCTGTGTGTAAAGGGAGCATCTTGGCAGAGCAAACGATGTGCTCTCTGTAGACAAGAAGTACCTGATGACTTCCTGGAAAGGCCTACACTTCTCTCTCCAGAGGAGCTGAAAGCATCAGCAGGAGGTCGAGGTGGGGCAGCGAGTGATCACGCTTGGTATTATGAGGGGCGTAATGGTTGGTGGCAGTATGATGAGCGAACCAGCCGTGAGCTGGAGGACGCTTTCTCCAAGGGTAAGAAGACAGCCGAAATGCTCATTGCTGGTTTTTTGTATGTAGCTGACCTGGAGAACATGGTGCAGTATAGGCGTAATGAGCACGGTCGCAGACGTAAGATGAAAAGAGACGTTTTAGACATTCCCAAGAAGGGGGTGGCAGGACTGCGATTGGACACTGAGGGTGTTAGTGGGGCCGTGGGGGCTACAAGTAGAGAGAACTCTGCTGATGGGGCTGATACCACACTAACAAATATACAGCAACAGGTTACAGGTATCTCTTCTACTGTATCAGCCCCTTCAGCTCCTGCCAGACCTCCCACTTCCCTCGGTGGTCAGCCAGGCCCCAGTACTAGCCCCCCTCTGGAGGATGCTCTCTCCCAGCTGCAAATCAGCCCCAGGCCCACACCTTCTCATGAGCGGTCTGAGGCTGGGGAAGGAGAGGAAGATGAGGAGGAGGCCTCACCTTCCAGGTCCTCTGACCCTCACACCTCTGTAGATGAGTCTGGCTCTGGAGATTGGAGTGATGATGAGGATGAGGAGGATGAAGAAGAGAACGGGGGAGATGGAGAGCGTGTGGAGCCGCGGGAGGGTAGGCCAAGGAGACAAAGACTGAATCCAGAGAACAGAGCCCCTCCTCATTCAGAGTCTGCCTCCCCGTCTCCCTCATCCAGTAGCAGTGGAAGGTCCAGAATGCCTGATGGCCAGTGTACAGTGACTGAGGTGTGAAGCGATCATTAATATATTATCACCAAATGGCTGTGTTCCTCATTAATTTGTTCCTCGCTTTATGCTGTCGTTCACTTGGTCACAGATCAAATGGGGGTGGAATACTTTCTGCAGGAGAAATGATGCACTACACATCCAGTAATAAACAGAACCACGTTTTCCTCTATTTGTATGCCCCATTCTGGGAGCACAATGATCTGGAGGTATCTGCGTGATTCTAACAGTCTCATCACAAAAATACAGAGTCAGCAGAAGTTTGTTTTCATGTTCTGGAACTGAGTGTTCTCATTCTGAGAGAGAGAAGGTACAGCTTGGTAAACAGATGAATACACAGCGTTTTCTGTTCAGCACATCATTTGAGGGAGGTGCAACAGAGTTGGCTGTAATCAGTCTGTGCACTACTGGCTGCAGGTGTATAAAGTTTGCTTTTTTCAAATTGCAGGCAAGTGGAAGTTAAAAGTGACTTCGGCCAAACCTACCTACCTGTTTACATTTATTAGCTAACACCCAGAGGGGGGGCAGAGTGTTAGCCCCAGTCAGATTTGTGACTTCCAGTGAAAGAAGGCATAATGGGATTTTGGAACTCAGCCATTATGAACGGCTGCATTCTGGTCATCTGCACTTAACTCTCTCAGCTAACATAGCACGCAGAAATGAGCTCATTAGAGCTCAAGTCATCTGCCTACTTGTGCAGAGAATTTAACCCTTAATACCTTATTCCTAGCCTCCACCTTACTTCAACAGTCTCCTTCACATTTAACTAATTATGAAGCATTTTCTTAAAGTTTTAATTTAACTGAACTTTTTCGAAGTGTCTTTCATTTCAGAGCTAATTGTGGTTTGAAAAGAAAGAATATAGTTTGTTCATGATGAAGAACGGAAACATTTTCAACACGATGCTCTTAAACTGTATGGGATTGTAAATTTGACACTTAATGATTAGCAACCTAGAATATCTGGAAACCTGAGGTTATCTGGCTATATGCCAAGATTTTGTGTTTGATTTCGCCTGCAGTTTTATGACAACTAAGATGTTTTAATGAATGTGTAAAACTTTTCCCAGCTTTGAAGAATTGGCATTTTACTGTGGAGTAGCAGCATTGTGCCTTTAAAGCTGCTGATGCCTCTGAAGCTTCCATGTTAGTGTCCCAGATTAAAGTATTCTCAATAAATGTGTATTCTAATCTGTGCGTGTTTGAAGAGAGAGTTACTTAAACACTACTGGTTGGCAGGATGTGGAGAATTGATGTTTTCAGTTTGAGTAAATGTTTTAATTTTGTGTTTGTGCATTTCTTATGGTTGTAAACCCTCTTATATATTATGTCTGGGGGAGTAAGAGAACAAATCTATACCATTGCTATTGGTCATCCTGCAGAAGTTTCAAGTTGCATTGGTTTTCTATTTCTTACATGCCTCAGTCATCGGCTCAGTTTTAAACTTTCCATTTGGAAGAATAAATCATTGTGTAACCTTTTTTTTTTGCTTAGTAACCTTTTTGTTTGTTTTATGGTTCGTAATTTAAGAATAAAGTGTCATTTCAACATCCAGAAGTTATTTCGCTCTGTTTGGAGACTGTATTTTGTTGTTTTGGCGTCTCTGTGACAGTGCATAGTCTGGGAAAATATTTCCATCCTGATTTTAAAAGTAGCGCAATCAATTGGGACACTTTACGTAACATTTCATCCACCTTTTCTCTACACCAAGTATTTGGCTTCCCTTCACTCACATCCGTGGTGTTTGGTATTCTGACCACAGCAGACAGTAACACTCCAGCTGGTTGTCTTGCCAGGAAACATGACCTTTGGAAGGGGAACAGGGGATACAAGCTCAGCAAGCTCCAGGGACCTGTCTTTTTCCATTGCAGTCCTTGAACATTTGTACTTTTTACAGAGCCTTATTTGCTCTGCGGGTTACTGAAAAATGAACAACACACTGAGGGGGAGGGGGGGGGGTACAACTTATGATATTTACTATGATTGGCTGAAATGCTTAATTGGCCCAGCGCTTCAGAATTTTGAATGTTCCTAATGCAGAAGATGAGAGCTACTGCGCAAAGCAGCGATACCCACTCGGAAAACATTCCTACAGCCAAGGTTTTCCTAATAGGCCACAGCGACATGGACACTGAGGAAATCTGAAGAATCAGCTGATATAAACTACAAGTAAGTTATAAACTACTGCAGTGTTTCTCTGTCCTACAGAAAGATGAGTCTTTCTCATGCTGATTATACCTCATTGTCTTGACTGCTTCAGTGTTAATCAGCCTGGAGTGATCTAATCATTTCCATAATTGCATAGTCAGAGGAGCTGGAGGATACAGACTGTTTATCTGCTGAATTGGCACTGAAAGGGTTTAGAAAACTAAATCCCTAACACAACAGGATCATACAGCATGTTCACTGTTACTATCAAGGACACCAGTGTAAACAAATCACAATAATTTCAGTCTCCACAGTGGGAATGATACATTTCTTATGACTTGACAGTGCACCACAGATGCTGTATTTTTAGCAAAGGGGCAGATGCATAATCCAGATTTGTATTTATTTACTTTACCTGGAAGTTCTGTATACAACATTAAAAAAGGAAGCTTCAGTGGGTGTTTTTGCTTCTTAACATCTAAACTTGTAGGCATAAAGTCAAAGAGATGCAACAAGAATCACAACCACAGCACTGTGCAATGACTCATCTCTCACTATCACTGCACTTGAACAGATGCACCTAGTAAAAGTACTCAATCAAAACAAATATATAACTTTAGTCCCCTAAAATTAGTTTCCACAAAAGTCATTTGTGTTTGGACTTGCTCGCCAGGGCCTCCAGGTTAGCCGGAGCGCCCCACACCGTCCCAAATATGTCCTTCTCAGTCCTCAGAGCTTCAGGCAAAGGAAGCTCTCTGCCTGACAGCACCACCTTCTTCACAGCTTGGATCACTGGGGCAGGTCCCTTTGTGTAGCGACTGAGCCAGTTTTCAGCCTGCTGCAGGAGAGGGGCAGCACCTTCTGTTTTCTGATGGCCTTCCAGGACTCCATCCACCAGTCCAATGTTTACGCCAAGCTCGGGATCCACTTTTACAGCCCCGCCAAGCAACTTCAGTGCGTTCTGGCTTCCAACCAAGTGGACAAGTCGGCCAGCACCGCCCCAGCCTGGGACCAGACCCATGTGTTTATGGACAAACTGGATCACGCTGCCTGCCTCCATTAATCTGCGAGAAAGGAATAACATACGCATGCTAGATTATTAGCTTTTGGATAAAATGCTGTTATGTAACGGAAACTTCTCAGGAGCGTTACCTGAAATCGCAGGCAGTCGTGAGTTCTGCACCGCCTCCCAATGCTCTCCCTTCCACCAGAGCAACAGAGATCAGGGGGAGCCTACACTAAGAAAATGCTCCTGTAAGCATACTGTGGTGCACATTATATAAAAACTAAACTAAGACCCCTTTAAGCGCATAAAGGTAACGGTTGTAGTTTGCAAAAAAGCACTAGAGAGGAAAACTAGAGTCCTTACCTGAGCAGCCTCGTAAGAGCATTCTGCATGAACATACACATCTTCATCCCATCCTATGAGACAAGAAAAGCATCATTTAGGCATCTTCAGTAAGAGGAATCCAGACAGTCACACCAAGATAGACATGAATGCAGTAAAGAATTTGTCCCCTTTGTTACCTGTTGGTTAGATATTGCTCGGACAGCGTTAAGGTCAGACCCAGAGCAGAACGTTTCAGCCGCACCCTGAACTATGAGGCCTTTGCCCTCTGGCCAGTTCTCCAGCTGGCTCACCCTTTCCTCCAGATCTATCATCATACTGCCTGCCAGCAGGGCAAAAAATAATCAAGGCAATAAACCAAAGTGCAATTTCACTTACAAATATTTATGGGAGGCTAATTTTTATCTGTCAGTCTGCGTCAAATGTAAAGTAACCTTACCAGAGAAAGCATTCATGCGAGATGGGTTGTTGATGGTCAGCACCGCAATGCCAGAGTCCTGTTTCAGCAGATCAATGGAGCCTCCATGAAAGGCCTGAAGCTTCTCTTTGATCTCATCCTGGTTGAAGCCGTGGATGCTGGAGTAAACACAGCTACTCCTCTGTCTCTGCAGCAGCCTTGGAGAAACACTCATGGATGAATAAATGCCTTTTTGTCTTTAAACTCCATTCTTATTTATATGTGCGTTAAAGTTAAATGACATGTTAGTCATGTTAAATGTACAAACCAATGGCATCAGAGTCATTCAAGGGTCTACACATGAAAGATCTCAGACTTTCTAATAATTTTAAACACAGTTACAGAATGTCTGCATACTATCAGTGCTTTTTAAATCACATCCTATTAAGTGTAAGGTGCAAGGCTAGTGTAAGTTTACCTACCTAAGAGCCTATTTCTTTAAAAGTCTACTTTTTAAAAAGATACTTCCAAGTACAAAAGCACAGAGCAGGCAGTAATATCCATTCATTAGCTATACTCTTATATCAAATCTTAATGAAAATATGGAAGGGTTTTAAGAAAGCGGTTATGCAGGACACACACTGCATAACACATGTGATCCATGGCCCAAATCTTTATTGACCATTTATTAGGACTTTAGCTGATAAGGTTTTATTAAATTGTACTGATATGACCAGAGAGTACTGCAGGTTAAATGAGCTTAATGATACTGATTGTTAAGATATCAATAACAGTCATTTAAAGAAAGCTTTTACAAAGCAGCCAAATAGATTCTTGTTGCTCAAAGGTCAAACTGCATGCTTACACTCACAAACAGAGGAAGAAGGAATGGTTTAAAAAAAACAAAAAACAACTACAACCTCTGTTTAAATCAGCATGGGGGATGTATGTTACTAAGTGATGCAAATAAATGGTAAATATATAATCCAGTTTAGCTGAAATTGTGATGTTAGGATCAACATGAATTTCATCATTTTTAATACGTGAACAAGTAAAATGGATTTAACTTGGCATGGTTGACATTCTTTATTTGCTGTTGCCATTATAGCGATGAGCAATGATGTCTAGTCTCCATCACCTGGCCCAGGTTCTGCAGTGACTGCTGCACCTCGGGACCTGTTGCCTCAGCGCACAGAGGACCATCCTGCTGCTGCATGATGGCAGAGAAACACAGAGAGAAAATATTTGCATTTAGCTAGATTCAGTGAAATTGCCTCAGACTTGTGGCCAAACAATACGACACACCGTTAGGTACAATACTGATGGTATCATGATAAAATGATACTAGGATACTTTGCAAGATGATAATAAGCAACACATCACATTATCTGTGTGAGTGAAAGTGAATAAAAAGAGCCCTAAAGATTCACATAACAGGAGTTATATATTTATTCACCTTATTATGGCATCAATGCATATTATCAGTATTTAATATAATAATAAGCTTGATTTAATGATATGCTTTAATAATGTGTCTTCTTCACTTGCGGCTGGTTAACTGTAGTTCACTTTAATGCCACCATGAAGGATCATGAAGTAGAGACCTCTGTTAATTAAACTGGATAGAGTGCCATATTTTATTATCAATACCTTGCCTCTCCCCTAACTTAGACAGATCACTTTATATAGAATCATAGTGGGAATATGTAATGGACACTTCAGACTTTGAGCTTTCAGTTAATGCATTTCACAAATGTTTTTCATAAACTGAAAATAGGTAAATGTGTATGTGTATAAATTGCTGTAATTCTTAAACAGTTTATTCAAAATATTTGCAAAAGTCTTTGAATTAAAGCTAAAAATCTGCTTTTTAATAACATGTTGATTGCTTGATTTAAAACCCACTGTGTTTGTGTACAGAGACAAACCCACATAAACTGTCTTTCCACAACATATTGTGAAACAGGAACATTAAAATGTATTGTAGCATTTTTTTTTTTTAGCATTAAGATGAAATGGGCAAAAACAACCGGAGCTTTTGACATCTGTAACATGTCTGTAGTATTAACCAGCCCGGCATACAGTACATGTAGGAAAACATCTTTGAAACTACTGCAGTACGATACAAGAGTATCAACACAAAGAGTTAGTAAACAATTTATCAATAAAATTCCCAGACGAAGAATCAAACTTTGAAATCATTTTATACGGTTCTGTTTAGAGGTGAAGCATTTCACAGCTGGCAAATGAAATACACTGGGTTAGCAGTCCTTTTCTAGCTTTAATAACGAATGAAATATGTTCCGTAAAATTCGTTTATAAAATTTTACCATGTCGCTATTTCCATTATAAAACACTTAACACGAAACCAACCTTGCTTTATGACAGTCCGGTGGTGTCACTTTGAAATCTGCCCCCCTAGAAACTAGAACTCAGGAAACAAATACGATAGCCAGCGTGTGACTGTAGGTGTTTAAGTCCTCCACCAGGGGGCGGAGTAATACTCATGTTCCTTTCCTGCACTTTTGTTCATTTTTAAATAAAATAAATATATAAACAGATTTTATATTTTTTTAAAGAAACAATATATATATATATAATGCTGGTGCATAGACTGAACAATATTTAAAAAAAATTATAATTTATTGTTGAACTATAATGTTATCCATCATAGGCCTATGGACTGCACAAAGAGACCTGCTCTTTATCACATGTCTGTAAACACTGCACACTGAGACTCTGGCTTTTGCAGACATGCCCTTATTCAGTAGCACTGACACCAGCCCTTCAAAAAGCACCCAGGACTCATATTTCCATGTCGGCACAGGCATTTGGCATTCATAATAACATGACCTATGTAAAGTTGTCACTATTGTACAGTGGGTTTTCATGGTAAAACCCTATTATAACCGGTGATGATTTATAGTATAAAACATCTTTACTTGACACCAGTGAGCAGGTCATGGCAGTGGATTCTTTCTAATCTAGCACTATGTCAACATTTTGTCAAACAACCAAAACTGTATACCCAAAGTAGGCATTGCAAAACATATGAAATAGGTGGCTGGAATAAGATCAAGATGAGGGTTAAGATTCCGCTCAGTTTCTCCTGAGCAGCAATACTATAATGGCAAAGGGGTCGATTTATTCGCATATATTTACATATTTATTTGGTTTTGAATGTATTTTGGTTCCCAGTGAATTTATGATATGTGCTTTGTCTAAGGAACTATTTGCTTCACAAAAAACATAAAACCTTTGTGAGCGATAGACAAAAATGTGTCTGAGATCACAGTACTGTCCAAGGATTACCTTTAAATACATCTTTAAGACAATTCATTACATTTTTTTCACAGCAACAGTCACAGCAACAATGAAAAAACTGAGGTTTGTAAAGATTTGCCCAGTCTTATCATCATTTGAAGGAGAAAGGAGAGAAGGTTGAGTAAGAGTTAGAAATCATGGGCTTGCAGAGAGTGAATAATCATAAATAAATAAGAATGAGAGGATAATTTACTGTAAATAGCAAGAGTTGGTGAAGGAAAAGGTGGAAAATATGTGCCAAAAACAGAAGGAGGCTGAGACACTTCCTGCCCCGTGGTCTGGCATGTGGTTAGTGGACACATAAATCCTTCCCTTCAATCCACACATCCTCTACCGCTATTCACAGCCCATAGCATCTCTGTGGAAAGAGCAGAGGAACCAAAAATACCCCCCTCATTTCGTTCGGATTGCTGAGGATTCCTTTTCACTTGACACAAAACGGTTATCTGAGAAGAACTTGTCAAAATATTGTTGCGTTCACATGCCTAGAACCACAGCTGATCAGATAGCAGTGGCCTTATTTAAAACTGTCATCGCATACTGTTTTACAGGACCGTTCAAAGGAAAATATTTTGCACATACAAGCGGCAGCTGTCTGGATCAAAGTGTAATTTCCCCTAAATGGTTTATTGTAGCCAGACACAGTCATAGTGCAAACGTAAAAAGGTCATCAACAAGGATACACTGCACTGTAACCAAGGCAGCAATAGAGTCAACTCTGTTTAAAAGTCCACCCCTCTCCAGTCTATTTAAAAGTGGGGAAGGAATTCAAATGTTGGTGGGACTCTTCCCAGGAAGGCATTCCAGACACGTTGACTCCCTTTCTTGCTCTGCATAGTGCATTAAGCTTGGTCAGCTAACCTGCAACCTGTCCATAAATATCACTGTGTGAAGTGCAGAACCTAAAGGACATCGTGGCTTTGTGCAGTTTGCATATGCATTGGTCTCTCTGTAGTGTGTGATAAACAAGCAGCCTGGTGTGGTATCTTCCATCTTTCAAACTGTGCTCATCTACTTTCAGTCACTGTCTGTTCAGCCCTTTTAGCCTGTGTTATTATCCATCTGGATATCAGTGATGCAGCCACGGACTGATAATGGAAGGCTGTCTGAAATTACAGCCTCACTAATGGGAGAAAGGCAGGGATGCATTTCTCACATCTGCCTATATGCATGCACAAATGCTGTTGCATGCCCTGTATGTCTGTGTGTGTTTCAGTGTGTGGCCGTGTGTTTACTGTATGTGGCCTTCAAACTGATGCATCAGTGTACTGATCAATATGCAGCTGTCTGGGGCTCCACAGGAAGTCGGGGAATGTGCCGCAGTCAGCATGGCTCTATACCAACACATCAAGATAAGGAAACACACACACAGGCACACATTCACACACACATACACACTCAGAGGACATTACATTGATTTAAGTACAATTCCTGGAAATCTGACCGACAATATCCTTAAAATATGTGTTTGTTTTTTGTCCACATATAGAGCACAATCCCCTTTAATAGGGGGTCCAATAGGGTGAGCAACATCTCAGCTACACTCAGAGATGAGATAAGAGCCTGTAAGGGTCTATTTCAGAGCACAAAGAATGGCAGGTTTGCAGGTGCCAGAGGTTCTCTGGGGCCCAGAGGTTTCCTGTGAGGAGTGCTTAGAGGTCTGTGGGGGTGGACGGCAAGGTGCCAGGAGACTCTGGTAAGGCTGTGGATACACTTCAGTGGAGGCAGCAACAGGGACGTGACCATTCAAGATGCAACTGAAACACTGGCAGACAAAAAGACACCTATTGTAATGTGTACCATGCACTTGAAACAACACATTATGAACCAATTTTTATGCAGACTACATTCTTTACAACTCACAAATTTCTCAATTAAGAAATACTGAGTTATTTTTTTCGGACATGCTTAATGTTCACAGTGTTCAATATGTGGCTGAAGTGCAGGCTTTCATCTTTATTTCAATGAGTTTTACAAAAATCTTGTAAAATTTTGGACAAACAACCTTTTTACTACTTGGATGAAAAAACTTTGCAGGCAAGGTGTGCCTGACGTCTAGAACAAATGCTGCATTTTCTCGCTCGAGTTGCTCTGCTAGTTCTTTACTGCAGCCACCTTCAGTTTCTGCTTGTTTGTGGTGCGTCTGTCTGCATTCAGTTTTGTATTTAATAATGGAAAAGCATGTGCTGTTGGGTTGATATCAAATTGACTTGGCCACTGAAGAATATCCAATTTCTTTGCCTTGAGAAAACCTTGGGTTGCTTTAAAGTATGCTTTGATTTTCCATTTACTAACTGAAGCTCTATCTGATTTTTGCAGCATTGGGCTGAATCTGAGCCGAGCGTATTACCATGTACACTTCACAATTCATCTTGCTACTTCTATCAGCAGTCAGAAGTAGTTTAACCTAGCTGTCTTATTTAACTGCAGTGGGTTTTCTGGGAGATAAGCACGCTGGTTTTAGGGTGGATTACTCTACAATTAATCGTTTTACATGATGTAATTGATTTATATTTGTACTATAAGAAACAACTGTATTTTTCTTTTAAATAGATAAAAGCAAGCTTTGGATTTAGTGGAAAGAAGTCTATTATGGTTTAAGTTAAGTGGGTCATTTGTTGATAGATACTTATTTGGTTTCTTCTTTTGATGATGTGTATTGAATGATCATGTGCCTTGTTTATTTGTGTGTATATTTTCTCTTTTACCAGAGAAGGGGGTTCAATGAGAATGGTACGGAAGAGGATTAGGACCACCAGAAAAAAGAGCGGGCTTTTTTTTTTCTTTTCCAGAATTCTGAGATTAAAGTCAGAATTCAGACTTTTTTTTCCCTCAGAATTCTGACTTTAATCTCAGAATTCTGACTGTTTTTTCTCAGAATTCTTTTTTCTCAAAATTCTGACTTTAATCTCAGAATTCTAACTTTAATCTCAGAACTGTAATCTCAGAATTCTGAGAGTAAAGTCACAATTCTGAGATTAAAGTCAGAATTCTGTGATTAAAGTCAGAATTCTGAGGGAAAAAAGTCAGAATTCTGACTTTAATCTCAGAATTCTGATTTTTTTTTTTTCAGAATCCTGAGATTAAAGTCAGAATTCTGAGAGTAAGGTCAGAATTCCAACTTTTTTTCTCAGAATTCTGACTTTAATCACAGAATTCTCATTTTTTTTCTCAGAATTCTTTTTTTTTTTAAATTCTGACTTTAATCTCAAAATTCTGACTTTAACCTCAGAACTGTAATATCAGAATTTTGAGGAAAAAGTCAGAATTCTGACTTTTTTCTCAGAATTCTGACTTTACTCTCAGAACCGTAATCTCAGAATTCTGAGATTAAAATCAGAATTCTGAGAAAAAAAAAATCAGAATTCTTTTTTCTCAGAATTCTGACTTTAAGGTCAGAACCGTAATCTCAGAATTCTGACTTTAATCACAGAATTCTGAGAAAAGAAAAGTCAGAATTCTAAGGGGGCAAAAAGAATTCTGAGAAAAAAATCTGAATTCTGTGATCAAAGTCGGAATTCTGATATTAAAGTCAGAATTCTGAGAAAAAGAATTGTGAGGAAAAAAATCTGAATTCTGTGATTAAAGTCAGAATTCTGAGAAAAAAGTTTACTCTCAGAATTCTGACTTTCATCAATCATTAATAAACGCTTGTGACCTGGTTCCACTGGCTGCTATACCCATACAGAATAATGTTGCCTCCAGCAGGCTAAGTCTAATTGAGTGAAATCACTGGTTTGCACCTTGTTGTCAACAATTTGCAAGGGGATGTCTCTTTCTTGCAGACTTTGGCAGTGATGCACCTGCCTCCTCAAGACTTGGTTAGATGCTGTAAAGTTGTTTTTCTTATCCACTGAAATAATACTTTCTTTATGCACTTAAGTATTCTTCTTTGGTCTTCCAGGCCTCTTGCTGAGCTGGTCATTGCATTCCTTCTTTTTAACGATGCACCAAATTGAGTTTCTGCTATCTCTCTCATAGGTTTATTTGGCGTTTTCAGCCTAATTATAAACCTCTCACTCGCAGGTAGATCTCTTTAGATCTCATATTTAAAAT